GACATGCCCGGGATTTAGGAAAGGATGATTGACGTCATAGGAATGGCGTGATGCGTAGTCGATCAGTATTAACCAATGAGGCGGCAGCCTCAGTGGCCTATTTTGGTGGCGTGATGTTGTTCAGGCCACCTAACCTTTGGAACGCCGTTTTTGTGTAAAAACGTCGGTTTACTACACTGGAATGAGATCTGATGATATCATAGTAAACTTAAAATCTATAGTTGATGGTTTATTAACTTCAAATGAAGAAATTGATATTACAGAAACTACTTTTCAAGTTCAAATAGTAAACATACCCAGAGGTTCAAATGGAAATAAAATAATAAATTTATCAGAAAATATCCATACTAAAAGAAGTATTATTAAGATTAATAATGATGATAATTTATGTTGTCCGAGGGCTATTGTTGTTGCATTATCTACTCAAGCAAATAATATTTTAGGCCATGAATTAAATTCCAATAATATTACATACTTGAGAAAAGGCAGAAAAATTCAAAAATATTTAGCTTTAGAGTTATGTAATATGTTACCAGAATATAACGAAGAAGGATTTACATTGGATGATATTCAAAATGTGGAAAAAATACTAGATATACAAATAAATATTATTTGTGCTGAAAGTTTAAATGCTTTAATTTATAAAGGTGATGATAAAGAAACTAAAATTTATTTATATAAAAATGGTAATCATTTTGATGTTATTACATCAATGACAGGTTTTTATGGTTCTTCTTATTATTGGGAAAAGTGTAATAAAACATATAAAAATAAAAATAAACATAAATGTGTTAAAGATAAAAATGTATGTAAATTGTGTCAGAGACCTGAACATTCAAGTAGTACAAAAAATAAAATATATTGCCAAAAATGTAACAGATATTGTTATAATCAAGAATGTTTAGATGATCATTTTTTTGTATGTATGTATGTACGTAAATGTATTGATTGTAATAAAATATGTAAAAGATTTACTAAACTGGATGATATACATAAATGTGGATATAGAGAATGTATAAATTGCCATGAAGAAGTGAAAATAAACGAACATCAATGTTATATGCAACGTAGAATAGGAAAAGGAGGTAAATGTTTTGTAGGATGTACAAAATGTTGTGGTACAAATGGTCCATATAAATTTTGTTCTTATACAGAAAAATATATGTTTTTTGATTATGAAGCTCAACAAGAAACAGGAACACATATTGCAAATAAAATAATTGCACATGATTTTGAAGGAAATACAATTATGTTTGATACAAAAGAAGAATTTTGTAAACATATAATATCCAAGGATTATAAGGGATATACATTTATAGCACATTATGCAAAAGGATATGATTCACAATTTATTTTAAAATACTTGGTTGATAATACTATAAAGCCATTTACAATTTATAATGGTACAAAATTAATGTTATTAGAAATTAAAAATTTAAGTATAAGAATAATAGATAGTTCTAATTTTATTCAAGGCCCTCTCAGTAGTTTTCCCAAAACGTTTGGCCTCAAAGAACTGAAAAAAGGTTACTTTCCGCATTTCTTTAATACAGTAGAAAATCAAAATTATATTGGTATGTTACCTGATAAAAAATATTATGGATTCGAAACAATGAAGCCAGAGAATAAACTAGAATTTGAAAAATGGTATAATGATAAAATTAATGAAAATTATATATTTAATTTAAAAGAAGAATTAAAGGCATACTGTACTTCAGATGCGGATATCGAACGAAGAGGTTGTTTAGAACTTAGAAAACAATTTTTAGAAATAGCTAATATTGATCCTTTTCGCTATACAACTATAGCAGGTGTTTGTATGGATATCTATAGAACAAAATATTTGTTATGCGATACTATAGCTGTTTTGGATAAAGAGAAAAACGAAAATTATTCAAAGCAATCTATAACATGGTTAAAGCATTTTAATAACATAAATATCTACCACGCTTTAAATGGTGGTGAAAAAATAATAGCAGGATCTAAAGCAGATGGTTATGATGAAAAATCAAAAACAGTTTATCAATATCATGGATGTTTTTGGCACGGTTGTCCTAAATGTTATAGAGATAGAGAAACTATAAATAATATAAACCATGAAACAATGGATGATTTGTATCGAAAAACAATTGAAAGAAGTACAAAAATAAAAAAGGCAGGTTATAATCTTATTGAACAATGGGAATGTGATTGGATAAATAGCAATATATACAAAAAAAATAGAAAAATATGATATATCAGAACCAATTAATCCCAGAGATGCTTTCTTTGGAGGTAGAACAAATGCTACAAAACTAACAGTAAAAAATACAAAAATACGTTATATTGATGTGTGTAGCTTATATCCAACTGTACAATATTATGATTATTATCCTGTTGGGCATCCTGAAAAAATATTTAATCCAAAAGTATATGATAAAAATTGGTTTGGATTAATTAAATGTAAAATAACACCAAGAAATCTTTATCATCCTGTACTTCCAGTTAAAATTAAAATGAAAAAAAGTGAAAAGTCATTATTTCCTTTGTGTTATAAATGTGCTGTAGATCAAAATAAAATATGTAATCATTCTCCAAATGAAAGACAATTTATAGGAACATGGACAACAGATGAAGTTAATAAAGCTTTACAAAAAGGATACATAATAACAAAAATGTATAAAGTATGGCATTTTAAAGAAAAAACAACAGATTTATTTAAAGAGTATATTAAGAATTGTATGAAAATAAAATTAGAAAGTTCAAAACATAATTATAGTTCTAATGAAGAATATGTAAAAGAAGTTTTTGATAAAATGGGTATTTTGTTGGATATAAATCAAATAAGTGATAATCCTGGTAGAAGAGCTGTAGCAAAATTATGTCTAGTTAGCTTATGGGGAAAATTTGGACAGCGACAAAAAATGAAAAAAACTGAATTTGTTACAGACCCACAACAATTCTATAAAATATTATTAGATGATAGATTAGAAAATATAAATATAAAATTATTAAATGACAATATGATACAAATGTGTTATGATTATAAAGATTATTACATTGAAAATCATCATAATACTAATATTTTTATAGCTTTATTTACCACTTCAAGTGCAAGATTAAGATTATATATGTTAGATAAATTAGATAGAGCTGTAGTTGGTTATGATACTGATTCTATTTTCTATATAGATAATGGTGTTAATAAAATTAAAACAGGAACAATGTTGGGCGAATGGACTGATGAATTAGGTGAAAATGTACATATAACAGATTGGGCATCTACAGGACCTAAAAGTTATTATTATAAAACAAATGATAATAAATTTAAAACGGTTATAAAGGGTTTTACTTTAAATTATCAAAATTTATTAAAACTTAATGGGGAAGCAATGATAAAATTAATTGAAGAAAATAATAAAAATATTAATATAGAATTAGAATACAAACAAATAACACGTGATACAATTACTAAAACTTTAGTTAATAAAAATGTTACAAAAAAATTCTCATTTGATTATGATAAAAGAATAATATTACCAGATTATGATACAATACCATATGGTTACAAATTATAATCATTTAAAAACTAAATGTTTATAATTATATATTTTTAACTTATTAAGTATAGAAAAAATACATAATTTTATAATAAAGATAACAGTAATTCTTCTTCATAAAATGTACCTTCTATATCATAAATTATATAATAAATAACATTTGATTTAATAACTTTTTTAACTGTAAATATTTCTTTAGACCAATTTGTTTTTAATTTATTTCGATACACATCGTTTATTGAAGATAATCTAACTCTATCATTTATTTCAAATTTAGGGTTAGAATTACTAATATCATAATTATAAACAGTAGAAAGTAGATCATTCTCGTTTTTCTTATTTACATCAGCAGGTTTCATTTTTATCGTTCTATGATATGTATTATTATATGCCTTAATAATCTTTGGTAATTCAGTAATCCATACATTGTTTAAATAAAGTACTTTCTTTAATTTATCACCCAATGTTCTGTTAAAACGTTCTATTATGGATGCATTTTTATCGGTGCCTGTACTATACATTGTTATGTTATATTTATTTAGTAATTGTTTTAAATCTTTATTATAAAATTCCTTACCCTTATCTACATGTAATTTCTTAGGTACATTATGTTTAAATATTTGTGAAAATGCCTCAGATACTTCCAATCCACTTTTTGTTTTCAAAGCTACAGAATAAACTTTTTTAGAAAATGTATCAATAACATTAAGAATATATTTAAAACCATTATTAGCTTCTTATAAGGCTTTATGGTTATCAATTATAAGTTACATTTACTATTAGATACTGTTTGCACCTAATACATTTATCTGGCTCATAGTCCATAATTTTAATTTTATCTGTTCTAAAGAAACCCAAAATTATAAACTTAAATAGTTCTCATGGTTTTAATAGGTAACACAAATATTCCATTCTAATTAATTAAAAAGAATAATTATTGATAGTTATTGAAACGCTATCTATTAAGTTTGTGCACCATATATACTATAAATAAAACGTTTTACATAATCTGTAGTGGCATAGATGTCTCATATTATATTGTCTAACATATTATTATTATTTAGTACATCAGTCCATCTCTTACATACAATTTGAGGAAAGGGATGAAGATTAGTATATTTGGCTAAATTTGTTTTTATTAAAATAGTCATAGGTAATAGGTATACTCATATTATTAATAAGTGACTTAAAATTATATTTATATTTTAATTTAAATAAGTAACTAGGTACCTAATTTATAAGATCAGAAACATGCACTTATAATATAAAATTAGATAGGTAACACAATCTGTGTAATTTTATCAATTAACATGGATTTGTATTTCCAACTACTTTCCATCTTATATTATACAGTATAAAGTATTTCTATCTTATTTACACAGACTTTATACTTATACTATAGACTGGTCCTGAGAATTCAAATTCAGTAATATATTATAACATTTTTTTGGTAGCATTGTTATGGATTCCTGTAAAAAGATACGTTTAACATCGAAATCTCAATTTAATAAAAATGTGAGATATGAACTTAAAAATTTGGATAATTTGAGAAAGAATAATGCAACCTCAACAATTACTTTCAAGAATTCTAGTTCAGTTGTACAGTGTGACCCTAATTCTGCTTCTGAAATATCAAATGCGTTATGCAACAATAATGTTTCAAATATACTATGCCCACAATTATATGAGACAGAAAATGATTCTCTAATATTACCAACAATTTCATCTGTCCAAACCTTCAGTTTACCTGACAATAATGTTGTAAATAAGGACAGCAGTGTATTAGAGAACTCAACAATTATTTCTATTCCTGATCAATTACGAACATGGGCAATTAAGAATAAAATTACTCATGTTGCTTTGGGTGAACTTCTATTAATTCAAAAACAAATACCTAGCTTAGAAAATTTACCCAAATGTCCAAGGTCATTTTTAAATACACAAAGAAAAACCGTTTTGAGAGACATAAATCCAGGAAAATACTACCATTTTGGTTTAGAAAATGGTATTGTCAGTATGCTTGAAAAAATTGATTTGTCCAATACGAGTGTTATCAACGTTGGAATTAATATTGATGGTTTACCCCTTAGTCACTCATCATTAAGTCAAGTTTATCCTATTTTATGTTTGATAACTAATGCCAATATCTTAATTTCTTCAAATATTTTTTGTGTAGGTATCTACCATGGCTACGATAAACCATGTCATTTTAATGACTTTTTAGAAGAGTTTGTTCACGAAGCTGTTAATCTAACATTAAATGGTATACATATAGGCACTAGACATTTTAATTTTAAAATTGTCATGTTATTATTCGATGCTGTTGCTAAAGCAAGTGTTTTACGAATCAAAGGACATAGTGGTTACTCTTCATGTTCAAAATATACTCAAGAAGGAGAATACCTGGATCATGTTATTTTTCCTGATATTGATTTTATTAAAAGAACTGATGAAGATTTTTTAAACCAAACAGATCCAGAACACCATACTGGTCATACTATTCTTCAGCAAATTCCTAACTTAGGTTTAGTTACTGAAGTCCCCCTTGATTATATGCACTTAGTATGTCTAGGCGTGGTTAAGAAGTTGCTAGTTAACACTTGGTGTTTTGGGCGTCCCCCTCATAAATTACCATCAAGAACTGTGGGGATCATATCTGATTCGTTGTTAAATTTAGTTAAATATATACCTCATGAGTTCGCAAGAAAACCAAGACCACTTAAAGAGGCCAAACGGTATAAAGCCACAGAATTTAGGCAATTCCTGTTGTATACTGGTATAATTGTTTTAAAAAACAATTTAAATAAACAGAAATATGATCATTTCTTAACATTACATGTTGCAATCCGTATATTGTTGTCTGACACATTATTGCTAACTATGACTGACTATGCGGAAGAGTTATTAAAGCATTTTGTTGTTTCTTCCAAATTAATTTATGGTCCTCAAATTTTATCACATAATTTCCATAATTTACTACATTTGACTGACGATGCCAGAAAGTATGGAAATTTAAACTTATTTAGTAATTTTTCTTCTGAAAATTACCTACAGAAAATAAAAAAACTTTTAAGAGCACACAACAATGTTTTATCACAAATAGTACGACGGTTTTCAGAAGAAAGATCTTTACTACAGATTTCCCCTACAATTAAAATTCAACCTGGTAGTTTCAAATTAGAAAAAATACATAATAATGGCATTTTAATTAATGATACTACAGACCCTCAGTACAAACAAGTATCTTTTTCTAACTTTAAACTTTGTTTGAAATTGCAAGATTCATGTTGCAAACTAAAATGCGGCACTATTATTGAAATTATAAACTTTGCCTATTGCCAGACATTAAATCAAGTAGTTATTATTGGTTTGAAATATAATAATATATCTGACTTTTACACAAAACCTTGTTCTTCATCTATATTTGGCATTCATGTTGTTAATGACTTAAGTAAAAGTTATTCGCATTGGCCATTATCAGATGTCTATCAAAAATTAATACGTTTACCCTATGACAGAAGTTTTGTAGTTATACCATTGCTACATATTGAAAATTGATATTATTTAAAATCTTATATCATTTTCCCTTGCACATTTTTAGTTTTTACATAACAATTTTATTTGAAAATATACTTATTGAACTGTTCAATAACTGTTCCACAATTATCATACTGTGTTATTAATTATTATGCAAGCTGTATACAAATATGTATATAAATATTTTATAAATTATAAAAGCATTCACTTATGTTTCACTTATATAAATTTAAATTGATTATAGATCATGTCAGCAGTTTGTGGGTGGTATGTTGTTAAATTTATCCATGAAAAAAACACTATTGAAGTTATTCCAAATAATTGGATGATACATTTTGAGAAATGTTTATGGCCTTCACATATTGGATTATTAAAGATGCAAGCAGCAATAAAAAATAGATTAACTCCAAGTAATGATTGGTCTTCATATGCCATTAAAGTGATTTGTACTAGAATGTTTTCTAACTATAATGAAGCCTCTAAATTTGCTAACAAAACTCTTGCGGAAACTTCTTCAGAATCTGACGCTCCAAATTTCTTAACTTCATCCAAAAACCGTAAACGTACAAATAATACAAACAATAACAATGTATTGATTAAAAAACATACACTGCAGGGTAATGTTGAAAGTAGTGATGAAGAACAATCTAATATATCAATTGATGTACCTCCATATCCAAAATGTCCAAGTATGTTTTATATGTTTTATATTGATATCTGAAAGTAATGTTCTCCTATAAAACGTTTTTATTCTATTATCTGTTTATTTCATTTAGATTTAGAAACAATCGTAGAAGAAAAAAGCAACACGGATAAAATCAATTATTGTGATGAAGATAATATTTCTAATATATTACTAGTTGATAATAATGAATATAATGATTTTGAAGAAGAATTAAATTATGGATCTGATACACAACAATCCTTAGGTAAGTTTTATGCTTTATACAAATTAGGTAGGTACAAGTTTAAACAAGTTAATGCCTTATATAATTGGCATATATTATACATAATGGTTAGAAAGTACATTTGTTATTACATATTTTGGTAAAATTACATCAATAGAACACTTAATATTTTAAATTTTAAATTAACTATGTATAAATTATTATGGTTTTATTTAATAAATATAATATTTATATAATAATTTAATGATATTTATTTATGGTTTACAGAAAATAACTTAGCAGATTTTGAAAAAGCTTCCAACTTACTTGTTGAAATACCGCCTGAAGTAAACAAAGAAATAGCTATAATCAATTCATCGTTATCAACTACAAATAACTGCAGTGATTCAGTTACAACAAAAAAAAATATAATTTATTTAAAAAAATTCAATACAAATTTGGTGGACTTATGTCAAATGTATATTATTTTGTTTAATTTCAATATATAGGTAAAATACTATTGCTCCTAATTATTGTAGTCATGATTAAAAAAAACCTAATATACTATATTATCAGGTTGATCAACAGTTTACAAATAATAAAGGCTCACTTTATATAATAATTCTGGTTTTTAATGGTTCATTTAAATAATGAAATAAATAATGTTAAATACACTCACTTGGATATTTTAGTAATTTTCATTGTTGTATAAAATATTTATAAATGTCATACTTTTTTATTTTAAGACATGTTTATATTTCATATTTTTTGTTCCTAAGTAAATAACCACTATAATTGTTCTTATAATAAATTGTTCAGGGAACATGCATTGATATTAATATATAATAATACATACCTTATTTTTTACTATACATTATTGATATTAAACAATTAGTTAATATTAAATCCTAACAGAATTCCAAAGACAAGTCATGAGACAACTTGTCACTCTGAACGCTAGATTTGAGGAACACACAAAGTATCTTGATGTTATTATGGTTATGGTTAACGACCTCAAAGAAAAGTTACAACATACAAATCCACTAGAAACATCAATAAATGGCCGTCATGAAGTAGAGAATGTTTTGTCCAAATTTCCTGTAACTGATGAAATTGCATTAAACGAAATAACTAATGACTTGAATAATAATTCTTCAGTCTATGATCAAATTGTAAGTTATGTTAATATACATGTTATATTTGTACAACTTAATATTACAATATATCAATTATTATATCAAATGTCTTTAAAATACAATTCATTAAATATTTAGGTGAAAACTTTAGCATTGATTGGAGGATCATCTTTCAAAGAGTCTGTCCGGCGCATCTTAAGGAAGTTGATCACTGATGATTATGCTAAATCATTTAGTTATACTGGGCACAAGAACAATAAACAACCGTTTAATAAAACTATTTTGGCATCATTACTCACAAGTAAATATGATTTTTTTTTATATAAATAACAAATTTATTATTTGTTTACTTATTTTCAAAATACGTGATTCAATTTAATCTGTTATTTTATTGATCGCCACTCAGGCCTTTTTTTCATATTTTAAGAGTGTAAAATTTTACTTTTATTTTTCTGGAATGTGTTTTATTTTACTTGAGGATTTTAGTGTTATATTAGTGTCAAATGATTTTTTGTTCACTGCAACCGTGACAACAAGCTAATACCTTATAACTAATTAATATGAATAATATAATAGTGTCCGTTTGGTTACCATCCTCCTCTTATCTATGCCGCTTTTGTACATTTTCAAAAATTTCAAGCCCCCTCCTATAAATAAAAAAATTTATCACCTATTCGGTCATTAATATTTCATATTTCCCTACATTGAAAAATACAAATAATGTTACTTTGTAGACTCCTGTTGCCTCCCTCAGCAATAATGTGCTCACCCCCCCCCCTCCACAGGTTGGCAACACTTGTTTGCATTTTGAAAAAATACTATATAATCTATAGTTTTGTATTAACTTAATATGTTATAATTATATAATTATACAAAATTATAATGTTTTAGGAGCTGTTCATTCATCTAACAACAATTCAGGCAGGACAATAAAAGAAATCGAATCAGTTGCAAGTATTTGGCTAACCAAAGCAGGGGAAAGAGCTAATAAGACTGCAGTAGTTTTAAATAATGTTAATATTGATTAATTTAAACATAGAAATATGTTTTTATACTACCATTAATTTTTTTTAAACACAGTTTATAAAATATCTATAAAATATATGAGTGTTTCAAAGTTTATTTTGGTTTTTTTTTTTAGTTAGACTTAAATATTGCATTTAGATGCAAGATTTAAAAATAATTAGCTATTCTATACAAAAAAAAAATATGCAAATATTATAAAAAAAATAAAAATATATATATGTATATATTATATTATATCTATAGATATATCTATAATCTAAAATAAATTAATATATTCACAACCAATGGATATATGTTTTATAATGAATAGAATATGATATTCATCATCAAATAGTATTTTGGTAATAATTTATACGAACAATTATGAGTTATTCATATATTATTTAATTTTAAATACTCATAGAATATTGTATGAATAATTTCAATTACTATATAAATATTCCAATAAGATTATTCATAGTTGATCCAATAAGACTAGATATTCATGGACTATCTATAGTTGACTCATTTTGCTATTTTTTCACATTATATGCATATTAATAGAATATCTTTATGTGAATGAAGAATATTCTTTACTTATTACATATATTCTTAGTGAATATTCTATTATTATCTTATTAACATCCACGTGTTACTTGGGAGTGCTGGTGCGAAGCCTTCCCGGCACCATTCCGCAACGACGGGGGGACCGAGTCCCGCAGCCGCTGTGAGGCCCCGTATCGCCGTCTGGAAGGAGACCGGTTTCGCCGACGGGGGGGACCGATTTCACCGGCAGGGGGGGACCGGTCCCTCTGCACTTTTGGTCTCCTGCCTGCATAATAAATAATATTTTAGATGCATTGCCTACGATCACATATATAATATACACAAAATACACTTACAATGGCGGGCCAGGTGGCCAGGTTTTCTGCAATTGTAGCATTCTGAAAAAGAAAAGCGAACAACATTACCATGTTTATCCATATACCTATAAACTAATGGACAACGCTTAGAGAGAGAGGTAAGAGGTCCAATATACAGTATTAGTTTCGTAAGTCTATGATTTCCCACATTATGTTTTTTCTCTCTTTCTCTTATATGATTCCATCAAGATTCCCCCACTATGTTCCTTCTTACTCACTCTATATTAGCGTTACTCAGTGATGGTTGGGTGGTGAGGGAGGTGCAATCCATTAGTTTATAGGTCTATATGCAAGAAAAAAAGTCCCCGGAAAATAGTCCCCGGTAAAAAAATCTCACGGAAAAAAAAAGTCTCCAAATTACTATTTGATTTAAATTCTGTCTTTTATCATATAGGTATTTATTAAGTACATAGCCCATAGGTAAAACATGTTACATATTTGTATTGAAAATTATGAACAATCAACTAAATTAAATAGATACCTTTCTAGGATTAAAAATTATTGTAGATAAGTATTTATATACATAATTAAATACATTTTAAATTTATTGAAAATAATATAATATCTTAAACATATATAATATATAAGATTTGTCAACCCAATTCATTTAGAAACATAGATATACCAGTATATAACAGTATAGAGGAAATATCGTTTTATTTATTCTATAATGAGAGACTTTGTTTCCGTGGGACAATTGCAGAAGATGGTGGTTGATTAGTGACGGGGCTTGCAGTCTGCACCGTCACCGTACAATTTGTAAACTGAAACATTCTGAAACAAATTGAAAAATTAACATTTGTAAAGTTGTCAAAAAAAACAAAAAAAAAAAAAGTGAAAAATATAATAAAGTAACGAGTACTCACTTCCACTGGTCGATGGCAAATAAATATAGAATTGATTCCACTGTTTAGTTTTGCCTTGCATTTTAGTAATGGTATTTACCGATGTTATTACCAGCACCGCGGGTCTGTCAAAATCGTTGAGCATTGACAAAAAGCTTATTAAAATTAAATAGGTAACATTTGGTAATACTGCTTGTCACGTGGTGGCAGAGTAAAGAGCGAAAA